TCTCTCTCTCTCTCTCTCTCTCTCTCTCTCTCTCTCTCTCTCTCTCTCTCTCTCTTTGTGCGCGTGTATGTCCTTTCTGTGTACACTTTTATTTTCTATTGTGCCATGATAGAATTATTTATATGCTCTATGGCAACCACCCCTACTTTTAGTAGATGTAGATGCGCGTAATTGTATTGATGCTGAGAATTTAGTCTCTACTTGTTACGCTGAATCAACCATTCCTTAATAGTCGTCGATGAATCTCAAAACAAGGAAAAAAAGCTGGTGGCTCCCGCAGGAGCGCACATTAATTACCAATTAGCTGCTTTTCGTTCAAGAAAGATTGAATGAATCAATTATTGAATTTCATAATTTAAAATTTATTTATCTTTACCTGTTTCCGATCTTTTTGGAATAGTTCATGACATGGAGTATGGCTTCGGAGCTCACGAGTTCTCAACCAGTGGAGTGTTTGAGGTTGAACCAAGAAGCTGCCCTGGTTTTATCTTCCGGCGCTCAATTCCTTTGGGCAGCACTGACATGTCTCGTTCAGAATTCCGGTCATTCATGGAGCATTTATCCAACAAATATCATGGAGATACATACCATTTGATTTCAAAAAACTGCAACCATTTTACTGATGAAGCTTGTCAGCGCCTAACTGGAAAATCTATACCTGGGTGGGTTAATCGATTGGCCCGAGTAGGTGAGGAGAAAATAATTTTATTGCATTTTTTGTACTAATAGACAGGAAAACAGTGAAAAAAATTAGATAACTAGCCTCGATCTCTTACTATACCAGTATAATCTTAGTTTAGGTGAAAATTGGTACTTGCTTGCAATGATTGCAGATCTCTCATGCTCGGTTGAACCCCAATGTAACCCTTGTTTGCATGCCTGCATGTAAAGCTAAGGAAAACCAAGGAAATGTTTTTTTTTTTTCCTAAGTCCCAAGTTCACAGTGCTGATAGGGTGTCTAATAATACGCTGCACTACAACTGATTTACTTCTGTCTCACAATAGTCATCTGTTAATTCAGGTGCTTTCTGTAACTGTCTGCTGCCTGAAAGTATCCAGACTACAACGATCAGACCTCTTCCGGAAAATCAGATGTATTCAGGCAAGTTCTTCTTACTCATTATGATCTATATTGCGTAGTTTTGTCATTTTCATTACCTGCTACTTACAGAAATTCCAGAATGTGAAAACCTTTGGTGATGTGTTATATTCTCTCTAATTTGGTGTCTATTACGAATTCCTGTGTTGCTTAACCTTCATTTTCAAATGCATGATTGCTTATTTAACAGTTTTTCAGACTCGCATGATTGTTTATTGAAGTTCGTTGCAAATGCATTCGTGACTTTTCTCTCACCAACCATCATTTTCAAAAGTGAGAAAAAAAAGGCGAAGTGGAAAATCGTTGCATCAACTCTCATTGACTCATTTCATTGTCATCTTGTGGATAACACTACTTACTCAAGCTTGCAATACATCACAGTTTCATCACTATAGTCTATATAACTTGCTCTGAAAATTCATTCCTTTCTTATCAGAATATCTTCCTCAATGAGAAAAGTTGTAAAAGGTTAACGAATCAGCATTGCACCATATGGCTTTTGCTTTCATTTACAGAACAAGATTACAGTATCTGGCAGGCTTATGCAGTTCTTTCGAACAATTGCTATGATTTGGTCATTTAATGCTTAAACGCAGATTACTGTTTTTTCCTTGAATAACTACACTAGTATGAATGTGAACAAACTTTATCTTTTTTTCCTCACATTAATGTAATTTTCATTATTGATCATAGTTTTTGTTTGTAATACCATTTAATGGCTGCTTTCAACAATAGTCGAGTTACAAGTCCAAATATGCGCGTATATGGAGATGAAGGCTTTTTATTGTCATGCACTACAATATTTAGTCTATTAAAATAACTCGTGCCTTTCTGTAAACAGAAAATGGAATGGAATCTGGATCTTCATCTGTAACAGAAGACAGTGATGAGGAGGCGCTAGATCATCATCATCTGCTTATGACACCAAATAGTGACGTGGCATTTTTGAAAGATAAACCAGTGAAGCTAGCAAAGGATGTTCTTTAAATTTGATTTTTAGTTTACTCATTAGTCTGTCTTTCATTTGTGGTGTTTGTACTTAAAAATGTGTAAATCTTCATTGTATTTTGTTGAACGCATAAAGCATTGCCGTATGTTGTTTGTGTGGCTCGATTAGTGTTTGATGTTCATTTGAAATGTGTGGTCGATTTTGACTTTGGTTTTCTCATGCTCCATATGGTTTTTTTTTTTGCTGCACGATGTTGGGAATGGACATATTTTCTTGAATCAGAGATATATTGCTTGAAAAACTAAATTTTGTTGTTTCTTGTGATTGTGATGAAACAGTTCGTTTTTTCTTTTTTGGGAAAAAAAATATGGAATTTGCATATCTCAATTTTTTCTTTACAATCTAGCTAACACCATTACAAATTAAAAAAAAATAAAAATAAAAAATTGTCATGTTATTAATCCATTTACATACTTTTAACTAACAATCTTATCAATTAATATATTATTGCAAATTTCTATTTCGAGTAATAAGAACACCCACAATGTTTTGAGTCTCTTAATAAAATATTATGTTAGTCTTTAAAAAATATTTCCCAATGAAATTTAAAAATAGACATGGTCTAATTTATGTGTCAATAAAAAAATTAGACCAAGTTCACTATTGAGTATTTTGGATCAAAGTACAAACTTGAACAATCAACATTTATTGCTAATTCAATTTTTCTTTTAATAGAAAATTATTTTAAAGCATTTTTATTGGTTGACAAGTATTATTGGCCTAGTATTTTATTTTTACATTAGATAGATTTTGAATTTTTTTTTTTTATTTTTTTTAACTTAAATTTGTCCATATTATTATGGGCACAAGTCCTTTTATAAGTAAAATTAAACCCAATATATTGTTGGTGCTCTAAATACTACATCAAATTTCAGATAATCTTCTCCCACATAGCAAATTACAATGGCAACCTAGTGGAACTAAAAAGTAAAAACCAAGCAGAGAGAGAATTACCATCACATATTCTGTCTGGTTCAGAGGCCTAGCAAGAGAAAATTATTAATTTTAAACACAACACTACCATAATCAATAGTTTTTTTTGTTTTTTTGTTTAATCTTTATAAGGACAAGGATGCAAACGAGCCGAATTCGAGCCCTTAACGCGTCAAAAATTGAGACCTCGAGCTCTAACGAGTCGATCTCGAGTGTTAACGAATTAAACTATATAAAAAATTGATATCCTAATTACGCAGATCGCGTAAGATTGATTTATTTAATTATAATTTTTTATAAAATTATTCTAAAATAACTGTGTTAATGACAATTTATATTTACATACTTTTTAATAATTATTTTTTAGGTATTTTTTTATATGTATAATAAACGTGAGCCTTGATTTTGTTTTGTACGTTGGACAATTAATTTCATGGTTAAACCGGATATCATTTATTGAATTTTATCGATAACTATGAAATCGAATTATTTAGTATACTATATTGATCCAATGTACCCGCTTATAGTAATAAATGATATCTCAATATTTTTTATTTCTTTCATATTGTTAAGCATTTTACTCGATATTAATGATTTTTTTATAATAATATGGTTGATTCTTCTTTGTAAATGTGTGTGACACATATCAAATTATTTGGTGTGTGCTTGTGTGTGTCTGTGTGTATGTATATGTCGTATATATAAATGTTTGTTTTTACTTAAATCACATGGTAGTCAAATCGAATTTCTGAATGAAAATTTTAAAATTAATAAACACGAGAACTTCGTACAAATAATTTTCAACGGATCAAATGAAATATAGTGGATTACAAATCTTTATTATTCCTTTGATTAATTTCTTCAAGAATGATCTTCAAATAGACTTGAGACTTTTGGAGATGAATCTTCAGTTTGATCTCCGTCGGTCTTGAATATGAATTTAAATAACGTTTCTTCGAGGGCTGGACAGCTTGATCTCGAATCGAACGTCGTGATTTCCCAAGAACGTGAAGAACACAAGTCCTTGGTCTTCGCCGCAAAGTTGATTTTGATCTTCTCTACGCCGGTCTTGACTTTAATAACGTAATTCGGAGGCTTGACAGCTTGTTTCCGGATTGAACGTTAGTTTTGAACTTGAACGCGCTTGAATCTTCCTTCGAATCTTCAGGAACGCCTTTGGATCTTCAAGAACACTTGACTTTAGTAACGCAATTCGGAGGCTTGGCAGCTTGTTTCCGGATTGAACGTCGATTTTGGGCTTGAACGTGCTTGAATCTTCCTTCTGATCTTCAAGAACGCCTTTGGATTTTCAAGAACACTTGAATCTCGTGGAGAGAATTCTCTAGAGCTCTTGAACTTGAAACTTGAATATGAGTTCTGACTTTTCATAATAGGGAGAGCCCCTATTTATAAGTGTTGGGAGAGAAAGTCTTGGAAAAGAAGACTTCAATTTGATTGGTCCATAATTTCCAATATTTATCTCTTAATTATTATTTAAAGAGATAATTAGGAGAAAGAGTCTTGGAAAAGAAGACTTCAATTTGATTGGTCCATGAATTTTCACTTATTTATCTCTTTAATAATTATTAAAAGAAATAAATATTAATTTTACTCTCCAAGAAAATGACACGTGACATTCTTTAAGTGACCTTCAAAATATACATGTGGCATTCTTTAATTGGCCAACAATATATATTAAATAATCAATTAGTTAACTATTTAATTCAGGAATTAAAAATTGATTAATTTCCTAAATAAAATAGAAAATTATTAAATTGACTATGATATGGAATTTGACACTTGTCGCCATTTAATTGGCTCAAAATTTAATTACCTACAGACATATATTATGAATTGAATATAATATAACATATTATCATTTACTTGTACAGTACGGATCGTGTACTAATTTCAAATAGACATGTTTTATATAATTTTGCACAATTCAGATTCATATAACATCTTCAACGAATGAATATAGCATTTGTAATTTATAAATATTAATGAATATTTCTTATCCTTGCATCGCACGTGATTCGTACTAGTTTAAATGGTGTTAGTTTGAGACTTTAGACACGGCTAATTAAAATTTTTTAATAAAAACGTGTTGAAGAAAAAAAATTAAAGATATATGATGAGTAAATTTTGATATGCCACATCAATTATTAAAATATAAAATTTTATAAATAAGAGATGTTGAGTTAAATTAAATTAAAAAAAAAAAAGAATAAATAGATGAGATGAAAAGCATTGTCGACATAAATATGAACTCCGCATAACTGAAACCCTAAAACGTGTTGATAGCAGCAAAAATTCGCGAAGAAGAAGGTACTCTCTCTGGCCGCCCGCTCTCATTTTCTTCATTGAATCTATGGCTCCCTCTTAGTTTATTTTAATTGATGATGAATCAACACTGTTCATCCTCGGCTGATGTTGTGTGTGTGTGTGTGTGTGTGTGTGTGTGTTTTTTTTTTGGATCTACCGTTGTCATCTGCATAGGCTTAATGCCCTAATTTTGGTTTGGTGATTTTGTTTGTTTTGCTTGGATTTAAGGAACGAACCAAAGATGTGTTCCGGCGGATCCTCCGCCCGGGAACTCCGGGAACTCAGACGGCCTGTTCAAAAAACTTTTCTGCGTCCGGACGGGGTAACTTTTTTTTTTTTAATTATTATTTGATTCGCTTACCATTTTAGCTAGGTTTGATGTAAGTTTTGTTCTTATATCCCTCCGTTTTAAATTATAAGTTGTTTCGACTTTTTCTGGTAGTCGTTTAACCCTTGGGACTCTACACATGAAAAGGGAATGACCACTCTGGGTCTTCTTCTCAAAGAAGAAGGAATTGTGATTGCTGCTGATCATCGTGAGTTCGTTTACTAGGCGGCTATCCTTATGTATATACATTC